TATTGGGTGAGTTACAATAGTTTGTGCTTTTAAAGTGGCCCATTTCATATAAGTTGTCAAATTTGTGCGTAGCGTTATTTGAAGTATTACTTTATTACCCTTATGATGTTTGCAGGATCTGTAGTAATATTCCTGATTTTGCTAATTTGTGTTTTCTTTTTTCTTTCTTATTCAATCTTGCTAGAAGTGATCTTTCCAAAGAATCAGATTTTTGTTTCTTTTTGTTTCTTTTCTGTTACTCATTTTCAATTTCATTGATCTCTGATATTATTATTATTTTCTTCTTTCTTCTTGCTTGGGGTTTATTTGGCTTCTCTTTTTCTAGGCTCTTGAGATAGGATTTTAATTATTGATTTGAGGGGAAAAAAACATGTATTATTATTGCTAGGTGGAAATTAATGTTCTAAGTTCCCAGATGGCCTCCACTGGTACCTCGGGGAAGGTAGCCTCATTACTAGACCCTCTCTAACCATCCTACTGGGAAAGTAGAAGGGTGCCTCATTACTGCTGGGTGGGAGAGTAAGTCCTTGCTCCTTGTGCTCTCCAGTGACACCATGGCGGTTGGGGAGGGGCTCCCTGCTGGCCAAAGGGGATGAATGCAGTGGCCTTCTCTGATAGTACACCAGCAGGAGTGCTGGTGTGCCTTGTTGCATCCTTATGAGGGTAGAAGTGTAAGATCCCCACTTGGACTTTGTGGGACTACAGTGTTTTCCCACTGGTTATATATAGTAGGGCTGTCACCATCAAAGTTTTCTGTCCCTTTTTTCTGGTCTTTTGGCTAGACAGGGTAGGGTTTTGCTGAGGCTTTTCTTATCTGTACCTTCACGCATTTTCAGGTTACCTGCTTCTTCAGCTCCAAGTCCGGGATATATGACACAAAAATAAAACTCAATGAATTCACCACTATGCATTTACTTGGTCCCTATGTCCCTAGCTGATCTGCTGTCTTCTGTCTACTTTCCAGAATTTTCTTATATTTGTTTCTATATAATGTCCAGAGTTTTTTATTTTTCTTCATGGAGAGAATAAAGTATGCCTACTCAATCTACCAGGAAGCAGAAGTCCTACTGCCTCAATTTTTAAAACTTAACCTGCATGTTAAAAAGGAGAACAGACAGAATACATGATGTAGATAGAAAGGGACAGGGCTTTTTGTTGTTGTTTTACAAAATTACTATAACTAACTCATTTCAATGAGTGCTGCTGATATCTTGAAATCAATGACTGAATTATCCTTTATAGATGATTCTGTGTGTTGAAATTGCTCCCAAACATTTTTGGACTCTTTTGGACGTAATTTTAGAAGTTGATTGTGTCCAGTTGCATATTCTCAGTGGCATAAATTGTCATCCTTTGAGGCTGTGTTTGACTTTTGGAAGGAACCCTAAAATGGTTAGAGTCAAGATAGGTGGTAAGACAAATGACCAAATTGGGTAATACACTTCTCAGTCTAACACCGTTTTCTAAGAGAACAGTGTAAACCAAAGTATTGTTGTCATGAGAAAGTCATTTCTTTTATATCATACAAAACCTCCCACACACTTTAAAGGTAGCAAAATCAACATTTCTTTTCTGTGGTGTTGACAGTAATGTTTCCTTGGGTCCAATGGATATTGGAGTTTTTCCTTGTAAACATACACTTTGACAGTATTTTGTTCAGGTCAACTTGAAAACACCACGTTCCATCACTATTCTCCTCAAATACATGTTATTTTGTCCAACTTCCCCTTGAAAATTCAAAACAAATGTCAAATCTTCTCTATTTCTTTTTATCATTCAAAATGTGTAGCACAGGCTTTACAGAAACCTTTTTGTTCAAACTTCCCTTCAGTATGAGTCAGTGTTCTCATAGCTAACCCCTCTGCCTGAATAAATGCCAGCTCTGACATTTTCTGCATTTTCATCAGTCCTTTGTACTTCACCGTGAGCACCTTATTACCTTTCTTAAGCCCTCGTGTCAGTCAGAAAAACTTCCTCATCACCGTCTCTCCACACCGTAATTGTTCTTTTAGATATCTTGTGTCCTGTATGTCTGTTTAACTTCACACAAAACTTAGTGTTAATTCTTTGCTTTCTATAGCTGTCATTCCCATCCTCTGCAATGTATAGTCCAAACACAGACTGAAAAAAACTGCTGCTGATGCGAACAGAAACGTTACAGATGTTTCCTCCAAGCTCACGTTGTATTTTTCCAAGCCATATAAGAACACGAGCTCCATCACTTCATAATCATAGAAAGATTGCTAAGTGCACAGAGCATCAGCCTATTTGCTTAACTATACAGCTCTAAGTCCCATACATAGGATCTAAAATAAGTGATATACCTAAATCAGTAAGTAGGAATGGCCCTTTGGCAAATTAAAGAGCTGCTAAAGATTTTAATATATTCATCCTCAACAACCTGATCCTCTGTTCCTTTACATGGCTCCTTTTCAATTCACTATGATAGTCATAGTCAGACAGCCTGTGTTCAGATCCTGGTCCTGCCAGTTTACCAGTTGGCAGATGACTTGGGAAAGTTACTTAACCCCTCCAAGCCTCAGTTTTCTCCTCAATATAATTGGAGAATAATAATAATTATCTCTAATGCTATTACAAGGATCAAAGGAGATAATACATGTAAGTTTTAGCACATTGCTTGGCACCTAGTGTTTGGATGACAGCTATTATTTATGAAATGCCAGTCATTAAAGATGGCAAGTAGGATACGGTGTTTGCCCTCAAGTTCCAAATCAAAACAAAATTCTGAGCTCAAACTGTCCCATCAGAAGGAAAAAATAAACCAAAAAAAAATCTAAAGACTATTACAGTTCTATAATATATAGAATTAATTTTGTACCCATGGATAGACCATTACCAGAATATTCTAATCAATGAAGTGATTGTTAAGGGGTCATTATTGATTTTCTCAGGCAGATTACATGTTTTGGAACTCTAGCTATATGCTATATCTCTCTAAGTTTTTCTGGGTGTTAAAAATGCTTTGTCTATGTGATCACTTCCTGTGTGTCCACTGACTCACACACTGACTGAAGATCCATGAATATTATGCTAGTGGAGGTGAGAAGCAGGTATAAATGTAAAACCAATGGACTGTTCAGAAGCCAGGCCAGTAAGCCTAAGCCAGCCTATACTCCAAGCTCCTCGAACTCCAGGAAATACTTTTCTCTAACTAACTCAGCATGCCAGTGACTTAGCAGCTCACACTGTGATACTGTGTTTATCATGGCTTTTCTCTCCTCCCATACAAGAGAACGTGAAATTCCACAGAAGTAGGAGAGAATTCAATTTGCAATAAGGAAAAACTTGACCAGAGGGGTGTTCAGTCTTCTAGGATGGCTGAAAAGGGAATAGATTTCATCAAGAAATACACATTTGCCCTCTACGTGGTTATCTTAGTTGTGTTGGTGCTGTAGTGTTGTGGTCGCTGGTTAATTGTGTTGGCCAGTGCTGGATTGCTAACTGTTTTTCACTATGCTGGAATAGCCTGAAACTTTTTTTTCCCATCTTTTCCTCAAGATTCTCATACTAAATATCTTTGCTGGTTTTTGATGTAAAAAACTGTACATGATACCAAGACAACCAGTTAAACACCTAAAAAAATATAATCAAATGGTTATTTCCTTTGCTCTACATATGGCCAAATAATAATTTTTGAGTATTTTCTTCGCTCAATTACCTCTTGTTTGGAATCAAGAAATATGCCTTTCATCTCCTTCAAATGATTTTCCATGGTCACTGTCATTTCCTGATGTCTCTTAAAAAATAAAATGAACCTCTTCATTGACTACTTGCTTAAAATTATTCTTTTATTCCTCCAACCTGACCTTTTCATAGTAATCAAAATCTTGATTAGGCAGGAAAATTCACAGGCTTTCTTAGCTAATGAATTCTAAGATGAAATTCATTTTTGAGTTCCAAATTACCCAACCTTAAAAGATCAACAAGAAAGAAAATGAATTCGTGAAGTAAACCCTCAGATCCTTCCATAATGATGAGTGAGGTGCCAACCACAGCACTATACTAATACATATGCTTAAAAGTATTTATGATAAGCTTTCCTTTCTCATGTTAAACTTCCATGTTAAGCCCTACCTGATATTAAAAGACATATTCTCGATTACCAGCTCATAAACAGATCTGGTTGCTTGGTAGAAAAAATATCAGGTAGAGTGACTGAAGGAGCTGATGCTAGGAAGAAGGTGAGAAAATAGGAGTGAACAAAGGAGCAGAGGTTCGCACCGTATCATTCAAAGATGAGAGACCGGAGTGAGCATGCCCTCCGGCCTCCATAACTGCCTTTAAGGACTAAGAAATGATCGCTTTACTGATGAATCTCTGAAAGCTCAACATGAGGTGATCTCCTTACAGAGTTCACTCTGAAGACCTTTCCAGATCTAGTGCCTCCACAGACTATCGGTACTCACAGGAATTTATCTCATGATTAATTTTTAATGTAACTTAAAGATTCCCAAAACCATACTGTTGATTCCATTTTATTTTATTTTTGAATGTCAAAACACAATTTTTTTAGTTTTCTTTAAGTAATACTCTTGATTTAAAAAATGCGGAAAATCAATAAATATTGACTATACTCATGTAAGCAATATCACTAAGCACTTGTGGCATAAAGGTTCCATATAGTACATCTCTCTCCCTGGGATATTTCAAAATAAAATGCCGTATGAAACCTGACTTTATTTTTAAGTAGTGACTTCTTTTTCTTGGACTGAATTTTGTTCCCTTAAAATTGGAGTTAAAATAAACTTTGGCAAACCACCAGCTGACTGCGAATGTATTTAATGCAACCTTGCTCCAATATTAACATTTTCACAAACCATAGTAGGCGGCCCCTTGCTGTCTTTTCATTATCTTTTCCAGCCATGGCTGCAAGCCCAAATGATGCCACTTTACCCAAGAGGTATCTGTACGTGTTTTCTACTTTAATCACATCCTTTCAACACCACGAATCGTCATCTGACAGATTATCTTCTCCACAGGCAGGCAGCCATATCCAGACCTTGATGGGGTCCCAAAGCCTTCAGCATCGTAGCCGGGAGCAGCAGCCATATGAGGGAAATATAAACAAAGTGACCATCCAGCAGTTCCAGTCACCATTGCCTATTCAGATCCCCTCTTCACAGGCCACCCGGGGACCTCAGCCTGGACGGTGCTTAATTCAAACTAAAGGGCAAAGGAGTATGGATGGCTATCCAGAGCAGGTGAGAAGAGATTTCACAATTGATGAATTTTCAGGAAATCCCAATGAATCCATGGTTTGTCTTCCCTCGTTAATGTAGTCTGGGACACATTAATGCTGTCACCATGTTGAGTAGAGTGCAACACACTATTTTATCATTATTTTTAGTGGTTAAAGACACCTACCTATAGGAATTGATGGTTGGTAAAATGCCCATTTTACATAAAGCAAAACTGATGGATCGGAACAGTTTTTCTGATTTATCCTACACCCTCTTCTCCCCACTCCCCACTCCACTTTAACTCTACAGCACAGCATTGGGATCTCACAAAGAGCTTCAGTGGACTAGGTGTGGTTACCAAGGCCTCTGGTGAAATTGACTGTGTGAAACATAAACTGTATATTCCTCTCTATTTGTGGCATCGTTTTTTATTTTTTTATTTTTTTTAAATATATTTTATTGATTTTTCACAGAGAGGAAGGGAGAGGGATAGAGAGTTAGAAACATGGATGAGATGAGAAACAGCAATCAGCTGCCTCCTGCACACTCCCCACTGGGGACGTGCCCGCAACCAAGGTACATGCCCTTGACTGGAATGGAACCTGGGACCCTTGAGTCCGCAGGCCGACTCTCTCCACGGAGCCAAACCGGTTAGGGCGGCATCGTTTTTTAAAAGTCCTATCTTCTGACTGTTGAATAGTACAGAGATAAAGTTTGCTATGAAGAAAATTAAAAACAACAGAAGGGAAACATTTCTGAAATGCTCCAAAAGATACTGATAAATGCCATGTAGCACAAAAAGAATTGCTGCTCTTCCGACCTATCTAAAAGTAGAATTTGCTTTTCCATTATAAAGACCTGTTTTCTTCCTCAGGACCGGAACACGGAATAAGATTTCACCTACTTAGTTACATTAAGCTTAAAAAATAAGACATCAAGATCTTAATGTTCATATAAAATTAATGTATCTTTTTTTGATAATTCAGATAATTAGGCAAAGCTGATTTTGCCCACTGACTTCACTAAATCTTTAATATGGTATATAAAGGTTTCACTTTATTATTAACTCAAAGCTTCACATATTATCCACCTTATTTTCTGAATGTATCAGACAAGATTATCTTCATTTTCTAGTTTTTCCCTTTCTGTTGTTAAGAGCCATTTATTATTTGGATCTCAATGGTCTAGACAGGTCCTCTATTTCTTAATACCCTCTTAAAGCTGAGATTATGTATTAATCATTCTCTGAATTATAGATATTTTTAAAAATAATTTTTTCTCTATCCCGCCTTGATCTAGGCCAAGTGTTTGATTTAAGGGAAAATATATCAGACTGGTGCCTTTAATGAGGTAATGATGTGAGGCTTTTAATTCTTCAGAGATTCTAAAAAGTTAATGAAGTTTTAAATTATGCTTTATTAAAGACATCTAGAAGGTTAAAAATTGCTCATATCTTCTCCCTCACAAATATTATAACCTCAGCTTCATTCTCTGACTTGGTTAGTCCTAATAGCAGCTATGTGTTTGTTTTCTGTGAGAATCAATGCATTTAAAAATTCACTGAAACAATAAAGATTTATATTTTTAAAAATTCATCGAGATCAATGCCCTCTATTTTCACCTACCTTGAATAGTAAGTTTAGTATTAGCGTGCACTTACTCTGAACACTCTAAATTTAAAGACTATTTTTACATTATCCCTCCAATAACACAAACATTGTATAGTTTGACTAATGAGAGGATTATTAGTTTTAAAGTTTATGTGTTTGTTCCAGTTATTTATTTGGCAGGGAGGGGAGGAAGGGAGAAGGAGAGAGAGAAAAACATCCATGTGAGAGGGAAGCATCTACCGGCTGCCTCCTGCATGCCCCCTGCTGGAGATTGAGTCCAAAACCCAGGCATGTGCCCTGACCTGGAATTGAACCAGCAACATTTTGGTGCATGGGACCAAACCAACTGAACCACACCAGCCAGGGTATTGCTTATTAAATGTAAAACATCATGATTCAGAGTTTGTATTTAGAATCCCTTGCAAGTGTTTTGACTCACCCCCTCTAGAAATATCAGGTGCCTTTCAAACTGAGAAGTAAACACTGAAACATTCTATAGAAGGCACTTAAGTATGAAAAAAGCCCTGCACTTAGAAGAGCCCCACATTTGGTTTAATGCTCTGCTGTCTCCAACTTTTAATGCTTAATAATCTTTGAACAAAGAGCCTCACATTTACATTTTGCACCAGGACCCAACAATTATAGAGCTGATACTGCTTATACGTACTCTTTCATTTAATCCTCACAATAATCTTATTTTCTTTTTACAAATGAATAATCCAGGGTACAGAGAAAATAAGTAACTTGTGAAAAATATAATTGGTCACGCTGTAATTTTAACCCAGGTGTACCTAACCCAAAGCCCAAATTCTTTGTCCAAACCTTCCTATTAAGTTAGCAACAAACCCAGCCAGTGTGCCCCAATGGCTGAGTGTCGACCTATGAACAAGGAGATCATGGTTCAATTCCCAGACAGGGCACATGCCTGGGTTTCAGGCTGGATCCCCACTGGGGGGCATGCAGGAGGCAGCCAGCCAAAGATTCTCTCTCATCATTGATGTTTCTATCTCTCGCTCCCTCTGCCTTCCTCTATAAAATTAATTTTTAAAAACATATTTAAAAATAAAATAAATTAGTGCATGATCTAAGATACTGCCTTTGTGTCACAGATCAGAAGTTTCAAGTGAAGTCACATGATGAAAACAGACTCTGAAAGAAGCAAATGCACCACTGACTGCCAGCTGCTGCTTATATCTTCATTCATTGTTTTAATATCTTAGTGAAAAACTGAAATGCTGACTCTCACTAAATAAGCTACTTATTAGCCTCCTAGATCTGACTTTTTGCTAGAACACTGCATTTCCCCTTTGATAATTCTCTTCAGTTTCTGACTGCTTCTTGGCTGTGAGATATTCTCTCATCTTTTCATGGCCCCTTTGGGCCTTCCCAGGCAGGTGGAACTCTTTATATGTGAGATGAATACTCTCTCTGACATGCTTTATGGGACACAACAGTCACAACACAACCTATTAGCCATACCACAATATGCCCAAGGGTAGTCTGGCTTCAGATAAGAATTTATGGTTGTCACATTTATAAAATCACAGTGTCATCTTTATTATTTCTAATATTAAAAAATATATTGAGGCAGTTCTTCATCTACTTGGCACATGTGAAATTTATTTCCTTAGATTTTTAGTGCCTTCCAGATTGACAATAATATAAAATGGATATAGTCACTACCTTGCAGGAGAAGGACTAGGAAGTATTCGCAACAATTTACTTTATAAGTAAATATGTTGCATAAGTTTCCTTTCAGGTTTATAGTGTCCTGGGGAAATATACCTTCTATATATTACATTGTGCAATATAAAATTTTTATATTAGAAAGAAATAACCTAAATCTTAAATAATTTAATTAGAAATGCACAGAAATATGGGAAAACACAAAGATAGTATATTTAAATCATGTAAGTTCCATTCTTCTCATTTTCTAATCTATATACTAGTAATAAAAGCTTAAGCGATCATTACGGCGGAACGGCCAGAACGACTGGTCGCTATGATGCACACTGACCACCAGGGGGCAAATGCTCAATGCAGGAGCTACCCCCTGGCGGGCAGTGCACTCAGTCAGAGCCAGGCTCAGGGCTGGCAAGCACAGCTGCCATGGCGGGAGCCTCTCCCGACTGCGCAGCAGCACTACTGAGAGGCAGCAGCGGGCGCAGCAGGCAGAATGAGCGCGAGAGGCATGGCACCTGGCCCGAATCCAGGCTCCTCTCTGGCCACCTGCCACTTGGTGCACTGCTACAACCCCCAAGGGATTCCAGACTGCAAGAGGGATGTCCGACTGCTGGCAAAGGCCTGATCCTGGTGCCGTTCTCTGTAGAAGGCAGTCAGTCTGAACAACTCAGTGACTCAGGGAAGTGCAGGGAACTCGGGTGAGCCTGCCTCCACACTTGACTCACCCACTCGATGGTGTTCATAGGACAGACCCTGTGTCCCAGCCCGCGCACATGCAGCAGCTGCTGAAGCTCAAGCAGCAGGCCATGCAGCTGCAGAAGGCCATTCAGCCACAAGCCGGCAGTCGGACATTGCCCGAGGTGTCCCAGACTACAAGAGGGCACAGGCCAGGCTGAGGGAGATCCCTCCCCTGCACGAATTTTGTGCACCGGGCCTCTAGTTAACCAATAACCACCCAAAAAGGAATACAGGGTAAACTGGTATATTGAATAAAGCTAAAATATTCCTTGGAGCTGCATCAAGTTATCATATGCTCATATTTACAGACTGTGAGCCTTATAAATACAAAACTGTTATAAACTGTACTTTCTATCACAGCGTGATAACCAGTTTTTGAGAAATCTAGCTCAATTCAAGGAAAAGCTGTAATTAAACGTATCTTTAAAATAAAAATCTTAGAGAGTACTTCTGGCAATTGCAGTTTCCCATAATTTAGAAACTATTCATTACTGACTCTACCATAAAAGTTACATTAGCAGATAGTTTTTGCCTTTGTGTTGCAAGTGAACTGTGTAATACTTAAATGTTCCATTCATTATTATGAAATATGACAGTGAATTAAGAATAGTTCCATTAAATGGCCAAGCCTAATTGACCTAGCTCCTAAAGACTCACAATATGCTGATTAAGTCAGGAATAAGGCTCAAATTTGCCTTGAACCATCTAAGAGTTAGCAATTAAAGATACCTCAAAAATAAAAATATAGAGAGCATTTTGGGCATTTGCATTTGCCCATAAGCAAATTAATAGGCTATGCAAGATTGCTGGGGGAAACATCAAACTACTTAAGAAAATAAACATTTCCAATCATCTTTAAGAAAGAGTTTTCTTAACAGTATGGAGTTTCCTCAAAAAAGTTAAAAATGGAACTCCCATTTGACCCAGTGATCCCACTTCTAGGAATGTATCCCAAGAAACCAGTAACACCAGTCAGAAAGGATATATGCACCCCTGTGTTCATAGCAGCACAATTCACCATAGCTAAGATTTGGAAATAGCCTAAGTGCCCATCAGCAGATGAATGGATTAAAGAACTATGGCACATCTACACAATGGAATACTATGCTGCTCTAAAAAAGAAGGAACTTTTACCATTTGCAGTAGCATGGATGGAACTGGAGCATTATGCTAAGCAAAATAAGCCAGTCAGAGAAAGCTAAATATCACATGATCTCACTCATATGTGAGATATAATGATCAACATAAACTGATGAACAAAAATAGATACAGAGGCAAGGGTCAGAGGAGGGGGAGAGGTAGAGATCAACCAAAAAACTTGTATGCATGCATATTAGCATAACCAACAGACAGAGAAACTGAGGCAGTAGGGGCTTGTGCTCAGGGGTGGGAGTGGCCGGGGGGCTGTCAATCAGGGAAAAAGGAGACATATGGAAAACTTTAAACAAACAAACAAATAAATAAATAAATAAATATATATATATAAATAAATAAATAGTTTTCTTTCTTTACGCAACCAAAGTTTTTGCCAACTGTGGGTTCTATGTCTTTCAGTCATCTGGGGGCCCCAATCTCATTACTCATAGAAAACTAGCATTTTCACTACAGACCACACGCACATCCCCAACCCATGATCAGCAAGAATTCCTAAGTTTGTTATACAGTAGTTTTTGTAGATCATTCCTGGTACTCATTTCCCTCCAATGGAATTCTTGATCTACATTCTTTGTATCAATTCTTATAGTGACTGTCATCCTTACTACAGTCTTATCTCAAGGTGGACCTGCTCCCAATGCCATCATTTCCCCATAGCTCTATGAAACACAAGGATCTTGTGTTTAACAGACTTTCATTGATGGTTTTGGGTTTGGGAAGGTAATGTAGCACAGAATACTAAACTATTAGCCCTCCAGTCCTAGATATTTCTTGACTATTCCCTGTCACAAGTCGTTTCTCCGCGTTCTTGACCTCTTTCTTTTTCAGTGTTCTCTTTCTCCAAGACCCCTAATAGCTTTGCCAGAAACTGCTGCTAAATCCAAAACTCTTTTTACTGAGTATTTCCTTTTTTCTTTGTTTAACCCAAACTCAAGCTATGGCCAAAAGTTCTCCCCTTTCTCAAGCTAAAAGTCCCACTGTTTCTAAACAAAGGAATTATCTACCAAGAAGATGAATTGTACTACTCACCTAGGAAGTGGTAGCAACTTAAAGAGCCATCTTTTCCCCTAACTCTGCATTTGCAAATTTTCTTTTACTTACTTATACATCCTTTCAAATTAGTTAGAATATGTGTGCATTTAAAGTAGATAATTTAAATAATTCACAATCTTTTTGTTATAAGGCTTTTAATTTTTAAAAGCTGTTAATCAAAATTTAGTCTTGCACACAGTAATGAATGAATACTTACTAATGTTTGCTTGCCAGGGAATTTCAAGCTAGTTTCATTCATAACTGATGCCTATAGAAGCACTAAATACTATTTTGTCAGAGTTTATACCTGTCTTGTGTACCAAGTTAATATAAACTGTCACTGAGAACTTAAGTAAAATGTGAATTTTTCCTACTGGGATGCAGTTATTTGAAGATATTTAGTTTTTATTTGCATTTGATTACCTTTTTATATCTTTTTTACATAGTTTTGTGTGCGAATAGAAAAGAATCCTGGCCTCGGATTTAGCATCAGTGGTGGAATTAGCGGACAAGGAAATCCATTTAAACCTTCTGACAAGGTAAGAAGTGAATTTCTTATTGACAATTTTAATTAGAAAAACAGTCTTTTACTGCAGGGAACAAAAAAAAAGGTTGGAAAAAATGTTAAGATTTTTACTGTGCTTTAATAAGCTAGCTAACTATAAAGCCAATTAGAAACTTTTTCAACCCTGGGAAAAAGAATTCACTGCAGTGCTTGACAAATCCTAAGGATAAAAATACATTAATGCAAGCATTCTCTTAGAAAGGAAACTTGTTTTTGCCTTTTGTTTTGTTCACAATTGTATATATTTATAAAGAAAGTTATTCAGGCAATTTCTAATCAGTTGTGTCCAAATGTTTATTTGTAAGCCACTTACTTAAGAAGATGTTTTCTCATAGGAACAGAATAATTAAATTATGATTCAATGCCAGGGCCAGTTGACTGACATCTCTTTAATTCATCATGTTTGTAAAGTATTTCACTGATAGAATCATAGAACTTTAAACCACAGAAAATAAAAATTCTGTGAGAAAATCAGAGTTAGCATGGAAGAGGAATCTGGTCCTCCTCTGGTGCTTACCCCTGTTTGTCAAACCACAGGTAAAGTTTGGCCACCATCCCCCATGCTAACCACAGTCATTGCCTGAACATCCGACGTGCTGCCCATGCTCACATCTGGTCTGTCTGGTCCCATTGTGGACCACCTGACATTTTATTTTAAAATGTTTATCCTAAGCCACATAACCTGTCCTGCTACCATCATTGTTTAATACTCTCAGCTTTGAATCAATTAGTAATTATAATTTGATGATAATTGAAACTATTTGCCTTTGACCTAATCAAATTTAATTGCATTAAGTGGCATCAGAAAACTTTAGGGTGATGAAGAAAGCCAGAAATTAAATGTGAATACAACTTCCACAGGCTCTCTATCTACTTATAAGTTACGACCTGGTACAGATCCTTTCTACTCAGCATTTAAAACAATAACCCATGAGCCCTAACTGGTTTGGCTCAGTGGATAGAGCGTCAGCCTGCAGACTCAAGGGTCCCAGGTTCGATTCCGGCCAAGGGCATGTACCTTGGTTGCAGGCACATCCCCAGTAGGGGGTGTGCAGGAGGCAGCTGAGTGATGTTTCTCTCTCATCAATGTTTCTAACTCTCTATCCTTCTCCCTTCCTCTCTCTCTAAAAAAAAAAAAAAAAAAAAAAAAAAAAAAAAAAAAAATCAATAAAATATATTTTTAAAAAAAGTAACCCACACATCAATTTCTGATCATAAGACCTGCTTCTGAAAAATCTCTGATGTCCTTACTCTGGAGATTTCTGTAGCCTTAAACAGGGCTCTTAATTCCTTATTTTCCTCCACTTCTTCCCAATCTTGCTTCCCACCACTCTTTTTTAAATATTTTTAATTGAGTTCAGGGAGGAAGATGAGAGAGAGGGAGAGAGAGAGAGAGAGAGAGAGAGAGAGAGAGAAACATCAATGATGATAGAAAATCATTGATTGACTGCTTCCTGCATGCCCCCCGGTGGCGATTGAGTCTGCAACCCAGGCACATGCCCTGACCAGGAATCAAACCATGACCTCCTGGTTTATGGGTCAATGCTCAACTACTGAGCCACACTGGCCCGGCTCTACCATTCTTTATGTCCTTCCTTTCTTTTCTGGAGGAATAAAAAGAGGGGGAGGAAGAGGTTGGACCAAAGGAAGACACTATACACATTAGGATGGAAGAGACTGGAAGGAAATCCTCAGTGGCCATAGATGGGCGCTCCTTTGGTCAGCTGGTTGGAGCAGCTATCCTATATAATAAAAGGCTAATATGCAAATTGTCCCCTTGTCTGGAAATTTGACTGGAAATTCAACCAGGAGTTTGACCAGGGATGGGGCCAGCCGGCCAACCACCCATGGCCCCTCCCCCCAGCCAGTCCCCCGCAGCCCCTCCCCCCAGCCAGCCCCACCCCCAATCGGCCCCCCAACTCCAATCGAGGGTGGGGCAGGCTTGCCAATTGCCCACAGCCCCTCCCCCTGGCTGGCCTGGCCCAATCAGCCCCAATTGGGGTCGGTCAGTTGGCCCCCACCCATGCACAAATTTGTGCACTGGGCCTCTAGTCTATATATATAAAAGCCTAAGTGACAGAATGACCAAACGACCAGTGGACCGGTTGCTATGACACACACTGACCACCAGGGGACAGATGCTCAATGCACAGGATTGGGCTCCCTCCAGTCTGGATCAGGCCTGTGGGATTGGGCCAAAATCGGCTATCCGACATCCCCTGGTCCTGGATTGCAAGAGGGCGCAGGCCAGGCCGAGGAACCCCAGCAGTGCACAAATACGAGCACTGGGCCTCTAGTTTATGTATAAGAATGTGTATGAGGCAGCCCTAAATATTTAGGGGAATGTCAGTTACAAAAGTCTGTGCATGAGCATTTTTATTTTGGAATGCTGTTGAGGAAAACCATCAACTTGATAGATTTTAAATATTCATGGTTTAGTACAGGGGTGGGCAAACTTTTTGTGAGTGTGTGCCAAAACCAGCAAAATCTCTGACTCAAAATTCTTCTGCGTGCCAACCCTAATTTTTTGAGAACATGTTACGCCTACTTGATAGCTCTTAAGGTGTACATATGTGAAGAACTGAAGACATAATAAAATTCATTCGAGCGACAAAAACACAGTGTGTGATGATGAAAAATACATTTATTTTTTAATGTATACATGTACACTGATAGTCCGACAGAAACCTTTATGACTCCGTCTGATATTATCAGTGGGACTTTTGCTGCTGCATCACTGATGACAGAGATTTTACATCAGGTTTATATTTCGTGACCTTCAGAGATATGCACGAGCTACTACTTTCATCCGTCAGGCTACTCCTGTTAGAGACTTAACAAAATTCATCACTGAGAACAAAGATTCACAAGCGTATGTGGATGAAACCAAAACACTGGTCGGATCTAGGAAGGCAGGGAGAGTTAAGGCAGAGGCATAGAAATTGCTCTTCCCTTCTCTCGTCAATCCATGTCTATGGTCTTTAACCCTTTGATTGCCAACCAATACCCTAGGAGCTATGCTAAAATTGCCAAGGCATTTTTGCTGATTTTACAGCAGTCTAGGAAAAAAATTATGAATCGCAAGTAAATGAAGTTACATATTCAAAAACTTAAGGAAACCTTTACTACATTGACATATTTAGCAATATCATCATCACTAATAAAAGCAGACTTAGAACTGGACGCCATTTCGAAGCTTTGATAGCACTCCCGGCACTTTTGGCAAAAGTCAGGAGCACGATCACGCTCCCTGGCACTCTAGGGGTTAAGATAACTTGTTATGTAAAATTATTTATTTATCTAAGATGCACCTACACTGAATTTATCTGAAAAATAAAAAAGTCGATATTAAGAAAAAAATTGTAAATGGAAGATTGTAAGAGAGGGTTTCACGTGCCAGCAAAAGTTACTGGCGTGCCATATTTGGCATGCGTGCCAGGGGTTGCCCACCCCTGGTTTAGTAGGACCACCTGTTTACTGAATTTTAATAAATTATTAATATACCTTAAAGGGGATGGATAGGGTCTACTAGGAGAAGGAGGAAAAGGGGGAGAATGGAAGATATCTATAATACTATCAACAATAAAAAATATTTTTTAAAAATATATATATATAATCTTAAGATAAAAAGTATGAAAGTTCAAAATTATTAGAAACATAACAGTATTTTTAAAAGCCTCAAATAATTATCTTCTTCTTCTTAACCCCTCTTTTGATCTTTGGTTTTACATGTCCTCCATGAGTTCTTTCAATGAAAAGTTAGTAACCTTGTCATTCTTAAGATAGTTGAAAGTAAAAGGACATGTTTTTCTCTTCCTTTTGCACCAGCATAAACATCTTTCAATACAGTGTTAGAAGTCACAAGGTAATAAATATTTTTAAATTAAGGATGAACAGATTGCTAAATTGTCAAGATGTCTAAATGCTACTACCTTTCTACTGTTATTTTCAACTGAAGGAAACAGTAGATGTGAGGCTTTCAAATAATTGCCTGTAATTCTTCCATTATGAGGAATCTCAACACTTTATAACTATTACTTTAGTTTCTCATTTGTAACATTTTGATGGCTCTAGTGAGACTGAACTATTTCGATAATTTTATAATTTGCTCTTTTAGTTAAATGTAACACATATAGAGCTTGAATTGTATAATGTGTCCATTGAAATATTTTCCCTCAAAAGCACTTTGCTTTTCCTGATTACTCTCTAAAACACTTCACAATCTGAAAAGTGAATCTCTATTATTGCAAAATTGGTCATTAAAAGTTCCAAATCAACAGAAGACTCTCAAAACTGCTCTTAATTTATTGACTACTTTGATGTCATGCCAAACACATAGTAGATACTTACTTCAAAGTGTTCAGAGGATTGCCCTGGCCAGTGTGGTTCAGTTGGTTCAATTCCTGGTCAGGGCAAATACCTGGATTGAGGTTTTGATCCCCGGTCAAGGTGGAGGCAAATAATCAGTGTTTCTCTCACACATTGGTGTTTCTCTCTCTCCCTCTCCCTTACTCTCTCTCTAAAATCCGTAGGAACATTAAAAAAAAAAAAAAAAAGAATATACCAAGCAGTAAGAAAATGAACTTTAAAAATATCTCTCTCTGAAGAAAAAGAAAAAAAAAAAACATTGTTTTTTCAGGAGTTGGCTAATTTACAGCTGAGAATGAGAGAAACAAATTAAACAGATATTTAAATTCAACAGATACTACCTGACTTGGAGGTGGATCCTTTGTAAGAAGTCCTAGTCATGCAAAAGTTTAAATTTAATATGAGCCATACTCCCTTCCAATAAAGAAGTCATGGATTAGAAATATCCCCAGAAGCAGCTATGTTATTTTACTTACTGTTCACGAATGTTTGAATGTTTTGTAATGCCACTCAAAATCTAAGTATCCATGATATCTGAATTTCTTAGAGGCATTAGGACTTTCTCTACTAATGTAGCCAAATAGATTTGTTCCATTATCTACATTA